AAATATATGTTTATTAAATTAAGTCTAATGTTACAACTAATCGGGGATCCCTTTAAATCTTGTAGCTCCACACGTCTTCAGCTACAGAACAGAAGTCCAGTTGCTTCATCGTTTTTCTTTCATTTTTTCATGTCCTGGTCAAACTATAAATTATCTGATTCCAGACACCTGCCTAGTAATCCTTGTTAATAGGAGACAATTGCTGATAAAAAGCATCAAGTAAGGGTTCATTGTGGCTGCTCCAGTATATTTTCTAATTCCACTCRAACTTGTATGTTACTGGTTTTTACGTGTATCCACAGGGTTTTTGGAGTCTTGGGTTTACATTCGACTCTGGTTTTAATCAAAGTCGAACCAGATGGCTGCCACTTGGGCTTTCCGTATTAACCTCACACACCTGATGTTATGACTGATTCTCTGACAGGCCGTTAACTCGGGACGTTAAACCCACCTCAGACCGTGTGACGTACTTCCTTCCTTCCTTGACCCCCACTGAGCATGCCCACATCCAAACTGTCAGCAGCCCCGGAGCCAGCCAACACAGCCCCACCTCAGCCCACAAAAAACAGACACAACACCACTAATCACATTAATGGAGCCATCGCACTGCAGAGCCACCGCACCAAAATAAAAGCCCCATTTGCTTTTTGAAGAGAAGGGCCTGCGCTCGGTCAAGATTTTAATCTACCCGCCCTTTAATTTATGGAGCTGCTGCTGGTGAATTTGATCCAGACCTCGACATCACTGCTTTCCAGTTAAAAGAGGAGGAGGAAGTCTTCATCCAGCTAAAAGCCTGAACGGCTGTGGTTTTCTTCAGCTAGTTTTGATCTCTGGCCTGTGCACGCGCTCTTCATCTTGCCGGGCTACTTTTATCCCTGACAAACTCTTATCAGATGAGTTTCCTCCAAAATTCCCGTTTTTGAGGTTCAGCCATGCAGAGCTGCTGGCTGCCGGCTCCTGTGGGTCTGTGTGTGTGTGTCAGTGCTGAACTTGTGAAGCTATCATTGTCTTATCTTGTGTTTGCACAATCCTGCTAAACTTTATCACTCTTTAGTTTCCACGGTAGTGATGAGCTATTTTTTTCCTGTTCCCAAATCTCTAATTTAACTCGTCTCTTCAGCTTTTGTCTCGTCTTTATTTATCTTTCTGCATCCCTGTTTTTTTTCTCTCCTCTCCTTATCAGTCCCCTCCACGCTGTGTCATTTGCTCTGGCCTGTGGCATTCCTGGAGTGGCTCTGCTCACTCTGGCAGTAAACCCGCTGACGGGCTTCCTGGGTGCGCTCAACATCTTTCTGTACACCTGTTGCTACACACCGCTGAAGAGACTGAGCATCGCCAACACCTGGGTCGGAGCGGTGGTTGGAGCAATACCCCCGGTGATGGGCTGGACCGCTGCCACAGGCTGCCTGGAGCCAGGTATGACTCAGCTGCAGAAGAAAATACATTATTTATAGGGGTGTAAGAAAATATCGATACACTGAAATATCACGATATTTCATTTCCCGATACTGTATCGATATTCTAAAGC